TTTATTGGGCTATCCTGGACTGGCTACCTCAAGGCAATCCACCAGTGCAACTAAAAAGTCATAATTATTCCACAAAGGAAGAGTGGGAAGGAGAAGAAAAGTCCAGCTGCAAAGAAATATTAATATTGGGCAAATAGAAATATGTGTAAATACATTTGACTTCTTCGCATCAAAATCCAGTGAATATTATTTATGTTCTGTAAACTGTATGTATTACACAATACTTAGTGAACACAGCAGCTGTGTTTAGATTTAGTGACACCCAAAACTCCATCACAGGCATATTTTTTTAAAAAGGGATAATATTTTCTGTTGTGTGAGGTGATGCCAAATGCTTTAGAGAATTCTAATCTTCACAGCTGAAATGATGAATCTGTACAGAGTAACCTGCTTGTTTTTTAAAGATTGAGTGAAATAGAGAGTGGAAAATTAATACCTATTAAACATATTTTTCCAAACTTCAGTTTTCTCTTTCTAGATGTCTGCACATAACATCCTGGAATCATTTCTGCTATTTAGGAGGAGGCGGGAGAAGCAGCTGAATCTGCTAGGAATATGTATTTGGCAGGACTGACTGTAAGGAACCTAATGCATATGCAGAGCATGCAGCTGAGTGTCTGCATTTGGGAGAATATTGGCATGATCTAAAATGAGTCCAAACTGTGTAGATTTTGCATCATTTTCAATTCTTTCTTGATAGAGTACACTGGAAAAGGGAAGACTAAGTAAGTGACCAGTCCTTTGAATTCTGCATTAGCCAACTGATGCCTATGGCTGTATGTTGTTGCAGCTTGTTACTGATGCTGTAACTACATTGAATTAGAAAACACAGAATGAGTTGCAGCAACAACTGTCCTACAAAGAGACACTTCAGGAAAAATGTTGAGCTCGGTACTGTGCCTTCAAGCGAAATAGTCCTGGGTTTGTTGAGCCAGCCCCGTAGCCAAATCTTGAGTTGAAGAGCTTTGGCTGAGAGTCCCTGCCACCGGTCATCAGAGATTTGTGGTACAAGATTTTGTTAAGAATGCATCAGCTGATTTGAACGGGCTTAGCAGAGCCATAAGAGAGGTAATTTTTCAGGTTGCTAGATGCCTAGCCTATAGAACAGATGGTTCTATAAATCAAGAAATCAGCACTGTGAATTCCAGGCAAAAGCAGAGTGTCTTGAAGCTTTACTTTTTTTGCATTAAATTATTTAGATTGAATGATTCTCAGAGCTCTTTGCTTTAGGGTAGAGTGAAATACTAAATTTGCTAAAACTGACCTTTTCAAAGGTCTGTGTGAACCCATCACATTTCAGTTAATATATGGGCCTACCATAAAAATGCCTGGAGTTGAGTAGCAGTTTGTGATACTCAGTTATGTGCTGTATTTCAACATGGCAGTAGCCTCTAGAAACCAGCCAGAGAGTACGACGGATCAGATTGCCCATGAATTGAGATGCAATTCAAAACAAGAAAAAGTATCACAATCCAAATTAAGGACAACAAGGATTCATTGAAAAATGGATGTCTTTCTTCATTGTGCTGCATCCAACTTTAAGGAAAACAGAACTCCATCACAAAAATGTATTCTATAGAATAGAAGTGGGGGCAGGAAGCTATGAGGCAGTGAGACTCTCAATTATTTGTAAGTAATGCTATCCCAGGAATAAGCAAAGAGTGTGGTTTTAATTAACAGTGAGTCATGAAATAGGAAGGTCTGCCAGATACCAGGCTGCAGTCCAACTCATTACCACCCCTAAATGGTTGCACACTTGGAGCAAACGTGTCTGCAGGCCTTTTTATTAGGACTTAGAAAATTTAAAGCAGGTGAATTCAGCTGGAGACAGGCCCAGATTGGAAATGCCGAAAAGCAAAATGCCAGTCACAAGGTGTAAAAGGTGGAAGAAAATAAGAAAGAACAGTTAACTCCCAGCTGCAGCTGAAAGTATGACATTTTTGATTTGGTGCAGATGGTGGTTTATGTGCCAAAATGCAGATACAGTATATACAGTCTGATAGGTATTAGAAAGGAAGAGGCTTTTTCTTGAATCTGTGGATGAATTGCATAATGCTTTAAGTGACAGTGGCAGGGAGGAAACTCCTCTGCAATTGCACAACTTAAACTTTAGAAAAGGTGTGGGTCTTAATTGAATAAAACAGTTGTAGTCTTCAATGCAACTTCCTCCCACTTGCTGCCTTGCCTATTCAAGCTTGTTTCTCATCCATGATCTCCTAGAAAGCAAATAGGACCACTGGGTCTGTACTTTGTCCCATAATCGGAGGCAAGGTTGGTTCCAGAGCCTCCACACCTGTTCTTTCCTGCAGAAGGCGGAGATTTGTTTGGGATCTCTAAAGGGAAAAAAAGTAAAAAGAGGAAATCATTTTAAAATAGACTAAAGTTTGACAAGAATGTGAGGACAGCTTGACCTGGAGTCAGGATACTGGACTCTAATCAGACGACCAGCATCATTCTCACTTCAGCCGCAAACTTGGTTTGTGTCCTCAAGTCTGTTACTTCATCTCTATCTCGGCTTCTCTGTCCCTTGACACATCGAAGCAATAAAAACGCTCATTTTCCTAGCTTTGTCTTTCTAAACAGTGACAGGGCTATTTGTCCTGTGCCTACATCAGACACGTAGTACATGGAGAGCTATTATTTGGTCTAGGACTCCCAAGTGTAACTGTAATACATGCAGGAGAGAACAGACAGGCTCTGAGAAGTGCACATGTCCCGTGCCTTGTCCAAGGACATTCTATACTAGAAATTGCCCATTTAGGCCAGTATCCTTATCCTAAAGTAGCTGGTCCCTGTTGAATAAGGACAGCAGCATGTCAGAGAATACCCTTTTTCTCCCATCTCCAACATTAAGATTTATATTGCTCTCTCCTAGTGCAAGAATGACTTTAATTCTAAAACATGTGGTTTCAAATCCCTTCCAAAAAAAAGTTGTTTATAATTATAGCTATTCTGGATAATCTTGTTAAACATATAATTACCCGGACCCTTTTAAAACCTCATTAATTTCTTGGCTTCAGTGGCGTCATGAAGCAAGGACTTCCACAATTTAATAAGTGCTCTCTGATTTTATTTTGAATTTAACACTCTTTAATTTTATGGAAGGTCTCTTGTATTACACGTTATAAAACAGAGTGAGATAGTTTAAGGGAAATCAAATGTATTTACTATCTTCCATATTTGTCCTTTTAGAAGTAAGCAATCTCTGTTCTTTTTTTTTCCAATTTCTTCTGTCATGTCAATTATGGGTTTTTTTCTGAACAAGCTATAGGTCTGCAATATTCATTTGAGCTACAGGGATTATCAGTTTCTCAGCATTTCAGGCAAGGTCTTATTGTAGATTTAAATGATAATGTTTTGACATTCGTTATGAGGTTCAGAGATTTGGGGGTTGAACAATTCTACTGGTGTATCACCTACCTGGATGTCCTGTGTAATATGGATAATTAGTTCAGCTTAGAGCACAGCTCTGAGAAAGGTCTGATGTCCCAGTCTTTGCAGTTGCTAGCACCTTGCCATTTTTCATTCCTTCAGATGCAGAGATCTCCTTTGAGCAGTTTACAGTGGTGTCCGTGACCCTGTCTACATGACCATGACATTTTTCTTAAAGCTTGTGATGGGTATATTTCTCCTAAGATGATTTACTGTTTTGTGTTTATCTTAATTTAATTTGATTTTACCAGAATCAAACATTCACCTGACCTGATTAGCTCTCATTGATGTGGAACCCTTTGACCCTGATGTCTCTAAACATCATCTTCCCATATGCAACTTCTTCTCCTTCAATAATTGCTTCTCTTCAGAGACAGAAAATTATGGCTATTGTGGGAAATATTGTGGAAAAAGAACTTAGAGAAGATTGGAACTTTTTGGCTACTTTGAGCTTCCTGATGACACCTCTTTTATTTCTCATCTTTTTTTTTTTCTCATTTTCATCTATATTTAGCACAGCATTGGCTTACCTTTTCTAATTGGTTATGAGTGTTTCTTTGGTTCTGACCTCTGGAGAACTGGTCCAAACCTGCTTGGTCTTAGTGTGCTTTGAACATGGTGTAAGTAGGATTTAATACCTTATTTCTCTGGTTCAAAACGGGTAGATGAGGCTCCCTTATCTCTTTGCTCCTGATGTCTGTAGTGGTGAAGTTTGCCAGACCTTACACAGCTGCCTCCCTTGGTAACAATCCTAATGCATCTCATCTTAACAAGGGTCAAAAGTTTACAAGTTACATTAGCTTCTTGGTTTGATGCATATGTCTTTGGATAAGTCTTAGCACAAATACGTAATTACACTGCAGCAGGCTACAGCTACATAGTACTACGTAGTGCAGTGCATTATCTATCACCAAATGCTGTTAGCCTGTTCGGCATGAAACTTTAGTGTGCACCTGTCCTGTTTTGTTTAGAAGCATCCCATGATGCAATTTTTCTTGTGGCAGCTCTTCACTGAGGTTAATAGCAGTTCTTCATTCCAAATTTTGAGATACAGAGTTATTAACCAGGAGCTGAAAATCCTGGAATACTGGTGCCTTTGGACAGCCTAAGTGATGAATAACACAGCACAAGAAGGAATCTCTTGGCTCACAGAATTTTATCTGCTGCTATTGCAGGCAGCTGTATCACACAATTCCCTCTGGAAGGTAGGAAGCACCGTCTTGAAAACAGGGCAACTTTTCTTCATCCCATTGCTACTAAAACGGCTCCATTCTGTCATTTTGCTTTTCTGTTTTCTGTTAGAAAACATCTAATTTAGATTGCATGTGTATTCATAGCTACATTATAACCCTTTTAGTTCTTCTGCTCTTTTGATTCAATACACTGTTTCCTTCTCTAGCATTTATTTCTCTGATAGTTTGGGGGAAAAGAAAAAAAGAATCTTTCCTTAAAGTTTGGTCTGCAAGACAAAAGAAGATGCGTAATTTTGGATCCTCTTGTAGATTAGAAGTCCCATTCTCCTGTTCATCCCAGTAATCTGAAATTCTTCAGGGTGGTACTGGTGAAGTACACAAGCCACTTCAGTATGAGCTGAGACAATACCGAAAATAACCACAGCACTATGGTTGGGCTATTTATCGTCCTTCTTAGGAATATGCATAATGGTACAATGTGTATATTATTTGAGCCAGGAATTACTCCATATAGGTGCTATGTGGCTTCGTATACCTGCACTAACTTATTTAGAGTTTGTACTAAATTGTGCCTTATAGTCATAACCCAACTCTTCCTATTTCCTTTTCAGTGAAAAAACGCGTTTAATCATCCCAAGCCAAACCACCAAACTCTGCCTGTGAGTTCCTCTCTCTTTGGCATTTGGCTTACATGCCTGACAGCTTTTTGAAGTCAAGATGTGAAACTGTGTTTCCATGTTGGCCAAGTTGAGTTTTGTGCTGAAATCACTTGATGTTTGCTCAGGTGCAATGAGTACATTGGGAAGTGAAAGAATCTTTGGCCCTTTCAGTACAATATCTATTGTATGCAGGATTTAATGAGTTGCCTTCCTGTTATCATGATTCAGAACTGTGCTTTTCTTTATTAATTTTTTTTCATTTCCTCTTAATGCCTCTGTCCCTATGTGCTTCCGGTAAATAGCTGATCTTTTTTTTTTGTAATGAATGACTCTTTCCCGCAGGAGATTTTACTGCGGAAGTGTATGTATGTCATTCATTACTATAAAACACTACAAACACATTGAAAGTTATTTCTGATAGTACATCACTGATAAATTTATCTAATACTACTCAAGCTTTAGCACACTTGAGATGTATTAGTGATAATTTTTTCATTAAGATCTATATGACTTAATTTAGGATTTTTCTCTCCAGTAATTCAGTTGAGTAATATAAATTATTGAAATAAACTGTTTAAATTCCAAAAAGGCTCTATCTCATTAATGTCACACCTATCAAAATGTTCATTACAGTCTCACACTTGATTAGTTCAGCACATTTTGTAGGGTCTTTCCCTGAAGTCAGACAGTTTTCTTTTTATATCCTGGCTTGCAGTCTGCAGCCTTCCCTCCCCGCACAATCCCACGTGTGTGTAGCGTGGTGTTCCCCTCTGGCTTTCTGTAGACCAGCCTGAGCTCCCTTTGAGCATCCCATGTGCCTTGCACAAGATGACCTTAAAGAGATACTCTTGCTAAGCAGCCCCGTTTCTGTAGGGATCAAGTTGAATTACATGTGGTAATTGTTTATGTGGAAATGTTTGAATTTATTTTGTGGCAGGAAAAGCAGGGACATCTGCTTCTCTCTCACATGCTGATGCTTTCAGAACAGCAGTGGTGTTCTTCTATGCTTTCTTGCAAAATTGGAAATTCAATAAATGATTGCCTTAACATGGTTTAGTATTGACTGCAGGTTAAAACCACAATCATTTATTTCACATTAAGGGCTTGCAGTTCCTTTGATGATAAAAGAAGTAGTGGTTAAATTTCTTTTTCGGTTTTTCGGCTCACAGCTGTGTCTGTCTAAAGAATACTGTGTTATTTTGATTTTTTTTTCTATATGCACATATGTATGTGTGCTTCTAAAGGCAAGTACTTAAATTAAATCCTCCTACTGCTATAAGTATCTCATATTTAAAGATAAAGGTTGGAGACCTTTTTTTGGGAGGGGGAAGATGTTTTTATCGCAAACTTAAAAGTATGAACTCAGTCACATTATAATAGGTTGACTGCAGCAGCTTAGTTATGATGGAGGCAATAGAACTAAAACAAGATGAGAGTGTCTATTTCTATTGTTCTGCTGGTTTATTTGAATCAAATAGCTTATCTCAGATCATTCCTAAACCAAGCCATTCATTACATGGGTTTTTTGAAATGAGAAGGTAGTTCAGAAACTTGAGCATAGTAATGGGTTGAACAGTCATATAAAAGATGTCTGATAGATAGTATCTGTGCTGCTTTATCACAGGTATGTAATAAAAATATGATCTCTGATTAGAGGGAAAGAAATAGTTATAGGAAATGTTCCTTTAGTTAGAGAATCACGGTTTTACAGTAGCAGTGTTAGCAGGGTGCTGTGAGCATGTGCCTCAGGGCACATAAACTGTGGGGCAGCATGAAAATCCAGCCCACTTTAAAGAAACTGGTGTGGCTATCAGCAGCAGGGGTTAGAAGTCTGTGCTGAGGTTTGGGATACTACAGCTAGAAAAGTTCTTATGAAGATTGATTAACATTGCCAGAAGGAGAGAGACCATGAGGCTTGTGTTATGGCTTGCTTACTCTCGTATCCTTGCAAAGCGGTTGCAACTCTATGTTCTGCAAGCAAATCATGCACCTTCATGCTAATGTAGATCATGAAAGCACATCTCTGGTATCACCTGCAAAAAATCACATGGTGTACCACAATGTATGACTCTGTCCTCCTGCCAAACCTACGTACCTGTAGCTGTTTGGGTAAGGCTTGGTGAACTTCACTCAGTCTTAGCTTTCATTTTCTCACTCCTCTCTGTTTGTTTCCCAGTTCTGGCTGTGAGGAAATGTAAAAATACTGAAAAGAGGCTATTTTTACAACATTTATGAGCCAACTGGAAGGAATGAGCGCCTGAACTCACATGAGAACTTACTCTTGTGAGCTTAGTAGTGCATGCTTGAGAGGTCTCGATAATTAATGCAATGTATTCACAGGGATAGGAGTTGTGTCCATTCTGAGGCTTGCATATCCTTAGTTGTAATAATTCCAGTTAGTTAAATTGTGCTGCTGTCATTATTTGAGTTTTTGAAGGGTTTAATTTGTGTGTCCTCTAGAATTGAAAAGTCAATAAAGGAGCAAATTTGTGTTTTCAGACACAATACCATTAACCGTAGGTATGAAGCAAGGAGTGTACTGAAGCAAGAATGAGTTTTAAGTTAGAATTAAGGCTTCCTGTTAGTAAATACAGCTCTGGGACTAAAGGATATCTCTGTGCAGTAGTGTTTATACTGTACCAGATGAAACATTTAAAAGTTGGATGTTGAAAAAGCAGCCCCCAAAGTAACTAATGGACATTCTGGCCCTGGCCACAATACTAGCTGCCATAGCTGCCACAGGAGCTGTACTGTTTTCTTGCCTGTTCTCTATCTCAGTTTGGCAGTTTAAAAAAGTGTTGTACAATAAATACTCCCGGGACTTCCACGATTGCTAAAAAACCTAAACTGCGTTTAGTTTGTTTATAGTAAGCCCTGAGACCCTGCTCTGCAGAGCAAAGGTCATGGAAACACATGTTTACGGCTTCACAAATGCTCTATACTCCTTGAATGGAGAAATTTATTTGATTTAATCAGCATCCACAGGGATCCTGTAATTGCATAATAGGTAATTTATTATGGAAGTAAAAGTATTTTTCTAACTGTAGCCTATGTAACATGGTTTTGTAGCTTTAGACTAATCCACATAGTTAAAAAGAGCTTTGCAAAACAGTCTGACTGGAGTAATGGTGTTCTGTGATGAGCACCTACTTGTATGGCTATTTAATCCTTTGAAAGTGTTAAAACAACAAGCACATTATCACCATGTTGGATGTAAAAACTGTTAACTGTTTGCCTGCCTTCAGCAACTTGAAGTGCTCAATGTGAGAAACTGGAAAGCCGGCCCAGATAATCCAGCTAGAGAGTGGTGAATATGAGAGTGGGGGAATCCAAAGTTTGTTTTTTTGACATATGCTGGAACATGGCCTTTCAGCTTCTTCAGGAAAGGAACATGGCCTTTCATCTTGGATACTGACTTACAAACCAATCTTTTATATACAAAAAAAAAGTCAAATCTGTAGTTCTTTAACTGTCATAGTCTTTTTGCTGAAATAATCATTAACTGGGTTATGAATGACACAGACAGAATAAGGCTAAGAACTATGGTATTATCCTTAAAAGAACTTGCAGACAGGGAAGAGAGATGAGGAATTTAACCCACCTCTTACACGTGGTATGCTGGTGCAAAGCCTGGGTCTCTGAAACCAGGCAATCCTTGCACAGCCTATCATTGATAATTCCAGGTGTGCTGAAAAGTTGCAAAACAACATGCATCTGTTCTGAAAAAGCTATGTGGAGTATTATGGTTGTTGTTGATAACCCCATTTGCTAGCTTGTCTTAAACTGAGGAGAGCAGCTGAAGAACTCCAACTCCAGACAGACTTTTGCAGTTTTAGGAGGAAAACTTGGGAAATCAGTTTGGTATTTGCTGGGGTTCTGAATGCTGAAGTTTTCTTTCCTACATCTGATGACCTCAGTAACACCAGAATTAGGTTTTTCTGCCTTTCCTGTGAATGTTTGTGATGTTCTTACTTCCTTCTTGAACTTGGAATTAATATTTTCATATATAAATAAAAGTGGAAAACCAAAAAAGTTAACTTGTTTGGTAACTCATCAACCTGCAAGCTTTCAGCTGTGCTTGAATAAGCCTCAGTCCATGGAAAGTTTGGACCATCATCTCCTTCTCAGCTTCAGTTATATCCTGGTCCAGTGAAATATTCTCTTCCCTAGTGCTGTGTCATACATGTCAGAATTAGATTATTAATACTGAACTCTTAAGGCAAAATGTAGCCTAAAGATTCTTCAGATCAATGAAGCAAGAGTGATTAGCCTGGTAAAGTGAAAATAATATGGTCCTAATTAGGATAGAAAATCCAAAGATCAATTTTGAGGAGATCAAGATGTGAATTTGGGCATTTGGCACCTGAGGTTTGGAAGGCAGGTGGGGGTAAGAGACAGAAAAGGATATCAAGTCCCACCTTTCACTGGGATGTTTTTATATGGTTTCCTTGCTTCTGTGTCCTCCTTTTTATTTTGCTATTTGAAGGTGATTTGTGTTTTCCTCCAATTTATACTTAAAAATATTTAATTTTCCCACAAAAATATTTTTGGCTTCTGTTTGGAAAATATTTTATTGTTTTCTTTTGTGACTCTTCAGACTTTTATTTCCTGTTCCTGCCTATGTATAATTGTGTTATATCAGCAATCTTAAGCTCTATAAATATATGAATCGTCTTCATGTTTAACATGGATTCACAGTAGTCAAAGAGAGGTGAATTCTGACAACCTCCCATGAAATAACTTATTTATTTTGAAATTATTCCTATACATTTTTTTAAGTAAGTCTATGTTTTAGTGCATATTGTCTTCAGCAACCTGAAGGCACTAGCTGAAGAAATAAGGGTCTCCATCACCTAGACCCTTGTATAGTAAGCATACTGTTTCATAACCTTTAAATGTCCACCAGAAGGTTTCACTGGTCACTGGTCACATTAAGCTCAAGGCACAGAGCATTAGACCCAGTCCAGGAGGAGCCAGATTGGGCCCAAAAGGACTGAATGAGGAGCAGGTTAATCTAGTAATTACGACACAATCAGAAATTATCATACCTTTTGCCTATTATTTAACTTTCTCACTGAAACAGCTGAAGAGGTGAAAGTGAAGGCAGAATGTATTGCTCAGCCCCCTGTCAGCATTGTTTCTGAATATTTAATATTTCCTATCCTTTAGATATGAGCAGCAGTGATGAATGGACAGAAAATCTCTTCATGCTGCATGGCTCGAAATGTGGGGACTGCATGTTTGGGCTGCCGTCCCTCTATTGTTTTGCATAAGGATCTAATAATTCCTATGTTGAGAGCTGTATAAGTGAATGGTGACAATAAGAAAGCAATTAAAATTCTACTGTACTCCATTTAAAATGAATATAGCTAGTGAAATAGTGATAAGCCAAAGAGAAAGGTAGATTTCCCAGATCAGCCCTCTGCTGTATTTAATACATGTTTCATTGTCTGTAAAATAGAGACTCTTGAGAATAAGCAGGCTTGTTTTTTTCTTCCCTGGGCATTCACAACAATGTGAAAGCTCTAAAGTAAGAGAAGATAGCTGGCAACAAGCTTAAAGGTGAAATGAAATAGTCTATAGGGAATTTTGTTCCTTTGGGAATCCACATAATGTAATGGTACAGAAGAATTTGGTTAAGTCGGCTGAGAGTTCATGTGTTCCTGCTGCAATCTTATCTGTCAGTGTGGAATTTTTTCTGCCAAAGGTCACCAATAAATATAAAACTGCTATTCTGATGAAAAATACCAATAGTTTGTCTTTCTTACTTTCACAGAGAGAGATACGGCTTGGCCAGAACTAACGTTAGCTAACTCAAGTTTAAATTAGTGCCAAAGTTATTCTGTATTACACCAAGTGAGAACCTGGCTCAAAACTATTATTTTTTTTCTTTTTTTTAATATGCCCCTACATCTCTGTGAATGACTAATTTTTCCATAAGTTGTGTCTTTGTGGAGGCCTCTTGCTAATCCTTCAGATTCTCACTGTGGGTTGATGATTTAGTCTACATCACTCAATAGCTGTATATGTCTTCTGGTCGCCAAGATACGATGGAGACTTGATGGTGAAAACCTCTGCCAAATCCTAACAAACTGCTTAAGTATGACGGGCCTTTCCTTATTTTCTCTTTTCCACTGTGCAGTTCTAAGCCACTGGTCTTATTTTCTGCTAAATTGTTGTAGATCACTCAAGCTTTCACTAGCTCTCTTGCTCACTTTTTCACCTTTTCTTTCACTGTCAGTGAACTCACCATTTCTCACTGTCTCCTCAGTTCTCTGCTTAGTGTATTTTTGCTTTCTCAAACTTCAGTCAGCAATGAGCTATCTGTCCATTTATTTTAGGCCTTGTTGCCCTGTCCTAGATCACTCCTACTTGCCCCATTCTAGGTTTTGCATTTAAAGTTTGAGAAAGGGTTAATGCAAAAGGGTTTGAAAAGTGAGATTTATTGAGCAACGTCAACCACGAAGGGACTTGTGCTTACTGGAGCTTATAACTGAAGCCACTGAGGCAAAGAGGCATTTAAAAGATAGTGGATAACAATATCCTTATCTTGCTAAGAATGCTGAACTAACCAAAGTTCATGTAAAAATGAAAAAGCAGACTGTTGTGCACATGTGGGAGGACTGCAGCCTTTCTCAGAAACAATGCAGATCTGAAGCGGGAGCCATCAATGCACAACTCTGGCTTTAGTGCATCTTTCTTAGCTCTCACTGCTTGGGATAGTCAAGGGTTATAGGACTTCATTGTTAAATAATATATGCGTGGTTTTTAATTTCAAATTCCTTTATGTCTCCCTCTCTCTGTTTTTTGCATTCTATTTTTCTTTCCTTCCTTCTGCTTTAGGCTGCAAGAGAAAAATTAGAGCCAGATGACGCTTTGATGTATGAAGAAGATCTGGATGATGAAGACTGTGGAGAAGCAGAATTTGAGGAAACCATGAAATTAAAACTGCTGCGTAGAATCGCTTCCCTAGCATCCAGACTGAGGGAGTTTATTGGCAACATGATAATCACCACTGGAAAAGTTGTTGTTACAATTTTACTTGGTTCAGCAGGTTGGTGCATTTGAAAAATTTCCTCAGGAGCCCATTAGATTATGCATTTAACAAATGAGTTTCAGCACTTTGGTACCTGTGGGAGTAACAATGGAACTTTTTAAGGGAAAAGAAATTGCTGCTGATTTTATTTAAATTGAATTTTTGGCAGGTATCAGAATATGCTGAGTTGCTTAAATTTTTTGTACTGATACTGTGTGGCCCTATTATTCTGTTTATGACTTTCACAGTTGCTGTTGTATTCAAATGGTAAATGGGGGCATATTATTAGTGACTGTATGTTGTAAATATACACATATATTATTTTTTTTTAAAGTGAATTTATAGATTTGGTTCCATTACTTCCAAGTGTAAAAAGCAACTGTATTCATTAAGAAAAACTAGCAAAGAGTATTCAGTTGACCATGTAGTGTGTAAAAAGACTAATAAGCAGACTTCCTGTTGGTTTTCAATGGAGTCAGTAAAAGTAGTTGTTTTGATATGATATAGCCAACATTTTTATAACACTTTTGACTTAGTACCACATAATCAGCTACAGCCAGAATGGAAGTGTACAAATCACTGTAGGTTGTAATTACTGAATTCAAAAAATTGGATCACGGAGTTGTAAATTAGCTTTCATGTGCTGGCTCACGTGTTTGAATGGAGTGTTTACATATAAAGTATAACTGTATACTAAATGAATAAGTATACCAGTATATGAAGTATAAAACAAGAGTACAAAAAACGTTTGATACTGAATGACAGGGACTGGTCAGGTGAGGCCCCTTTAGTAAGGCAGACTCTTTCTTTAAGGTAAGATTATCTAACAGCCTTACACGTCGCCAAATGCAAAGAAAGAAATCTAAAAAGGGAAAAAAAAAAGTGGATCACCATGATGCCTGACATGAGGGAAGAGAGGTGTGATTAAAAAAAACCCAAAAAACCAAACAAACCGGAAAACCTGATGCCACTCTGCATGGGTGAACATCATGCATGGAGGGTGAAATAGAAGGATCATGCAGCAGTGACAGGGAGCAATTTCTTCTGAATGTTGATGGGCAGCTTGCCTGTGGAGCTCCAATGCAAGCCAAGAACCGGGAGGTTGTTCAGAGTAGAGTTACAAAAAGGACTTGAGGTCTGAGAAGCCTGTTTTCCAGAGAGAGATCGTGTGCTTAATAAGTTAAATACTTCCTTACTTACCATGCCAAAAAGATGAAGGGTGATTTAACTGCAGCCTGAAAGTACTGACAAAGCGATACCATTTTTTTAAGATACCTCATCTAGTAGCAGTGATAATAGGAGCCAACACTTAGGTGGTAAACCTAGACAATTTCAGACCAGAAATAAATTTTGAATTTTTCACAGCCAGAGTAATTGACCGTAATAAAAATTTGGTTTAGGATATAGTGGATTCTCCTTCTCCAAAAGTGCTTAAATAAAGACAAAGTGTCTCTTTGAAAGAAGGAAGGAAATAGTTTCAGGCTCGAGGCAGAAATTGCTGGGTTTAGAGCACGATAGGTTAAAGACTTGGTCTCAAGTATGATGTGAAAGATGTGATGGTGGAGCTCAGGAAAATGACTGTGGATACAAGTCCTTACAGTGTCTGGACTCAGCTCAACCAGGGACCGACCCTTGGAGCACTGCCCCCAAAAGACATGTCAATCCAGCACCTGGCAAGGGGCAAATCCTCCTGCTGGAGTGGCTGGCTCAGTTGGAAGGCTCAGCTGCAGGGCCAGCAGGCACATTGGAGCTATGAGGCACGAGGAGCCTGCAGGTCTGTCCAGAGGAAGGGGGCTCCTAGATGTGTACTAGTAAAAAGCTTAAAAATAAGTTAAGGCAGGCCCCCCTGCTAGCTTTGTTATCATTTCTTTAAGAGTCCACTGGGCTGCTGTGCTGTCTGCAATCTCTTGTCATTTTCTCATAGTTGCTCCTCTTAGACATGTATGTCTTTCCTGCTTCCTAACTTACTTTTGTGGGCTACCCTCAGAGCATCAGGTCTCCTTCACCAGTTAAACATTTTCACAAGTGCAATACTCAGCTAAGCAGAAGCAAAAACAACATACATGTGTGAGACAGCAGAGTCTTTGTCATATGTAAATAACAAGTTTCTAGGAGTTAACAATGAAAAAAATCAAACATTTACTGATTATTCTGTGGATTTTATCTAAATCTCTTACTTTCAGTATATGAATCAAGGTTTTTTTTGTTTTAATAAGTTATCTCAAGATTTGTATGAGAAGGCTTTGCACTGTTCGTTCATCATGACATTTTAGTATCTTAAAATTCATACACTTGTGGTCTCAGGCTGTGCTGGCTGGCCTTGCAGCCACCTTTCTGTTTTTCTCCATGCTTTACGAAACATCTTTACATAGAGAAGATTCTCAGAGGAAAGCCTGGAGAGTGGTTGTGTTCTAAGATATGGTAAAAGTGAATTAAACAAAACAAAAAAGAAAATCCTACTCTTCTATTCTCAAAGTTAATAGCAGTCTTTAGAGCTAATTGTAATAATTAGCATAAACCTAATTGGGTTAAATTTTTTAATACACTTCATTTCAAACTTAAGGTGTAACAAATGCTGATATTTCCCACACTTTTCCAACCCTCCATGTTTTTATTTTTACAGGTATGATGGTGCCATCTTTGACCTCAGCTGTGTATTTCTTTGTATTTTTGGGTCTGTGCACATGGTGGTCCTGTTGCCAAGCATTTGATCCGCTGATATTCAGCTGTCTGTGTGTATTAATGGCTATATTCAGTGCAGGACACTTGATTGGACTTTACCTGTACCAGCTACAGTTCTTTCAGGAGGTTGTTCCACCGAAAGATTTCTATGCCAGGTGAGAGAAATTCCTTTCCTGTTTAATTGTGGGCACATGATGCAGTGCCCCGTTATCACATGTTGGTGCAAATGATCTTCCACATAATGATTTGACAAATTTTACACATAGCTTCACGTTCAGTCTTGGAAGGCAAAGCATTTCAGATGGAATGGTTTTGAATGACAGAGTGGTGAAAGTCCAGCCTGGGCAATTGCATGCAGAGAGCTGGAGCAGGTTAGGAGGCAAAGGTGATTTTGGTTTTGGTCAAAGTGTTCCTGAGATTTGAGTGTGAATGATTTGGCTAAGAGAGGAGATGAAGGAAATAGACAGCAGCATATTTTATTTTTTTTTTGGTAGAAGAAAATAAATGCTCTGAGGTGTAATGTTATAGTGTCTTAACTATGCTTTTGTGGTGTCATTCTTGTATGCTTAAGGGCATACAAGCCCTTAGCCTCAAGGCATAAGGGTTGTTGAGATACTTCATGTGCTGTGCATAATATTAGACTGTTAATGTAAAAATTCTCCCTGGTCACACAGGACATACTGGTCTTATCTTCATAGCAACAGCTACATCAGTTAAGTAAAAGAGCAGCATTTCTAGGTACTGCTGCAGTAAATATTGATTTGCTGTGATTTCAACGACCCTTCTATTTTTCACATACTAGAATTAAAAAAAGATGAAGTAAAGGATGCGTTTTTCTCATTACTATTTTTTTTCCTGCTGGATCAGGAAAATTGGGGTTTTTTGTACGTATTTTTAATGTTGTAGCAATCCTTACATTAAACTAGATGTAAACCTTAACTTTATTTCTAGTAAACGTATTGTTCCTTTTAAGTATTAAAAGTTGAAGGTGAAAGGAAATTAGATGTGCTGTGGAGAATCAATTAATGGTTTATATCTCAATGCACAACTAAAAGCCATAAAATAGAGCTGTCTAGTTGCAGTAGCTGTTACTTTAGTACTTATTTGACATTTTATTTAGTACAGGTTATAGATGTGTGCTTTGTGATGTCATAATTGGTGACTTGATGAGGCTAATAGAGAGGGCATACCGTTGCCTGAAAAATCAGAAAAGACTTGCTTAGTTTAGGTTCTTTTGTGCCACCTAGAGGTCAATGTAGGAGAATGGATGATTTCTAGTGCCAAGGAGCTGAAATGCTCACAACTTCTCTAAACTCTTTATATTACTTTCTCCTGTATTAAGAAAAGAAAAGGGGGAATGGCTTTAAACATCTCATCAATTTGGCTGTGAGGATATCAAATCACAATTTTTAGCACCAGACAGCAATAATAGTTTCTCAAGGAAGGGAAATATGTGCTTCATACCGTTTTGCTAGAATATGTGGAATTCTCTTCATATGCATAATTCCTGAAGTCCCTTTTTCCTTTCTAGTATTTTTACTTATTAATTTTAAATTCCTATATTTTTATTTACTTCAAGTTTCAAATAATTTAGTCTCAAGGTTATTGTCTGCATTTAGTAATTTTATTTTTTTAAATAGTATGACTTTTCATTTTATGATAACATTTCATTAACAATATGCCACTTTAACTTAGTCATTAATTTTTGAAATTAAAAAATCTGATTGCAAGGAAGTTGCCCCTGCCTCAGTGTAGAATGGAAAAGGACCTTCAGAGTCTGGGTTAAAAAAAGGCCCAGTATTGGACTTCAGAGTATGTACAGAGCTTTTTTAAGCAGAAATTATTGCAGACTTTCTCTTGAAATGGTACTGTTGAGTACTTTGCCTTTTACACAGGATATCATATGAGGGACCAATATTCTAAATTACGTAAGAAATCATGTTTGAGCATAGAAAACACCAGTGGCATCAGAAGGTGCAGACTTCCATGTTTCTTTATTGACAGTTCTTTCTGTTGTGGATTTACTTCGATCTACTTTCAGGGAGATGCCTTTGAAGAGCATCAAGACAGGTATTTTCAGTGATGGGAAGTGCAACTCTTAGTGTGAGAAAAAGCCACTAATGATTTTTAATGGTTGGAGCTGGACCTATATATAAGAAGAGGGTAGAGGAGTAAAAACAAGAGACATATATATTGGAATGGTGCAGAAAAAATATTTTAGCATTTTTCATCCTAGAAGAAAATCAATACATTGCTATTTTATGTACCATCTTGGTTTGAAGCTGTGCTAAATATGCAGAGTTCCCATTAATACTAGTAGGTGGCTTTCATGGGTAAATAATATGCCGAGAAAAGAATTTGATTCCCCAAAGTCTTGCTACAAGAAGGACATTGACATGATGGAGCATGTCCAGGGAAGGGCAATGAAGCTGATGAAGGGTCTGGATCACAGGTCTTATGAGGAGTAGCTGAGAGAACTAGAGTTGTTCTGAAGAGGAGAAGACTCAGGGAGAAGCCTGAAGAAGACAAGGCTGAGGGGAGACCTTATCGCTCTTTACAATACCTGAAAGCAGGTTGTAGTAAGGTGTGTATTGGTCTCTTCTCCCGAGTAATGAGTGGCAGGACAAGAGGAAATGGCTTCAAGTTGCACCAGGGTAAGTTTAGATTGGATATTAGGAAAAATTTCTGCACCAAAATGGTCATCAGACATTCAAAGAGGCTGCTCAGGAAAGTGGTTGAATCATCATCCCTGGAGATATTTACAAGATCTGTAGACATGGCACTTAGGGACATGATTTAGTGATGGCTTAATGGTTGGACTTAGAGGACTCAGAGGTCTTTTCCATCCTAAATGATTCTATGACTCCATACAAAAGAAGGACTTTTATTTCTCTCTAAAATTTTGAAAGCTTGATCCCCAGGATAAGTTCTCCTCAGTTGCAAGGGCAGATGTGAAAACTACTCCTGTTGGACTGCTGGTGGATATTATTTCCCTTCGCAGAATGTAACTCTGGTGTTTTAAAAAGCTCCTTTCTGGGTTTGAGTTCTGAAGTTGACAAGAAATGTACAAGTGGTTTCTGATCAATAAAAAATGTGTTTTCTCTGAATAGTAATGCATTTAGCTTGTCAGTGTATCGATTGATTTCAGACTAAATGAAGTTAAACTATACCTGAACGAGCGGGAAAATTCTCAAGTTAACAGTATAATTCAGCTAAGATTTGCATCATCCTTGTGCTACTCCTTCCTTTCAACAACTTCAACTCAAAATTCAGCACTTGTGATTGTAAGAAGTGACTGAACAGTGTCACCAAAAGAAAGCAGTTTCCTTCAAAGGAATAAACTGAAATATGGTGAATTTACATATTTTGCCCTGAAACCTTATGGGATTGTACAAACAAAGTACTTCCCCCCCTAATTTAGGATATTGTGATAACAAAGCCCTAAGTGTTTGCCATAGTGTAGCAAATACCATACTAATAGCAATATTAGTAAATAAACACGAAAGCATCCATGTCCTACAAAATTTCAGATCTCCTGCTGTGGCTTTCTGGTTCTGTCATATGCAGATAGAAATGACATAAACAGAAAGACACATTGAAATGCCATCGAGTGAGCACTCTGCAGATTGGAAATGTATAGGGTACTGAAAAGTCTGAAGTATAGCTGGTGTGCCAGGGGTAGTTATGCTGGCGGCAGAGCTTGTAGGATTTACCTGGTTGCGTGTATTAACACTGGTTAATTACCAGCTGATCTCTGTCAACTAAAATGTCCACACTCAGTTAACTTAATTTATAATAGGTATATTCTGTGTTGGCGTGCTACCATATTGCAAATCTGGTGAATTATGAAGATGGGAAAACAATAACAAGAAGTATCCACTTAAAGCAAAATTACAAAAATACCATATTTCTGCCATAAAATTCTTTTCACCTAAGTTAATAAAAACAAGTCAATGAGCTAAAATTACTTTAGAAATTGTGTACACAGTGTCACAGCCTGAAAAAATACACAATAATATGTTTGCCATTTTTCATATTGCTGCCTCCTTTCTTCCTGATATTGTTTATTTTGGCAAATGGATGTAATTGGGCAAATGATAAGACCTTGCCAACATGAAGAAATAGGATCAATGCAGTGGTATGAGGTTTATCCTGAGTCAGTAAAGTTATTCCTGTCCAAAACTGTGCTTATAAGCATATTCATTTAAAGATCCAGCAATCCAATATAAATTAAAAGCTATGTGCTTTCTTAGAGTTTAGGTCTGTCTTGTATTGCTTGTAGTTTTCAGGCAAGTAATGTTCAAAATAATTTAAATACAAATGGTTTTGTCTATGGGAAGGCATCACCCTTACAAAGTGAGGCAAACCTAGGAGTCCGGGTAGTGTCATCCATTTCGCAGTGTTATGTTATTTCACATCTTCTTAAGTGAACGAGACTTTGGAATTAATTACACAACTGATTGCTTTATTGTAATCTGAGCTGGGAAGTCTAACGTAAGGTTTTTTTTCAAGAGGAAATTTTCATCTGAAAGATGTCTATAAATTTCTTTAAGAAAGACTTTTCAAATAGATTTTATGGTAACTAGTAATAAGCTTGCTTAAATGACTGTTTTATTTTTGAAGAGAGTATTACATTGATATTTGCTACAGATGGTAGATATACACTATTCAGTTTGTTTTCAGATTAATCTGAGATGACTCCAGTCGAAAATCCTCCATTTTGACTTCCATGAAAGTTTTGATATAGATTCATATTTTGTAGCCCAAATACTCTGTTCAACCAGGTTTATACATGCTTAAGCACAGTCTGACAAATATTCCTGGAGTTGTCAGATCAGGGTGGGACATCCAACTGTAATATTTTTTAGTAAATTAGGGATTAAATGTACTAATGAAATCCCATCAGGAGAGCAGATATTGCCAAAATATCAAGATGTAGTTGATTGATTACCTTGTTGGAAGTATCTTGTTTCTGCAGGGTGAGGCACTGATCTCCTGCTCTCCTGCTGCTTTCCACTGGAACCAGCAGCTGGGCAACATGTTTCACCTGAGCTGCAGCCACTGTTAATCCTTGCTGCAGACACCTGTCTTTGGCACCTGTCTCAAAGGTGACTCAACTCTGAGGGGCAGAATATCGTTAACCTTGCATGAAATTCTGAGGTTTTTGGGGTTGCCTTTTAACTTGGTCGTAAGCCAGTGTTTGAAAAGTTGGAGTATTTAAAGTTCATTTATGTATCCTATATTGAGCTGCTCTTTGGCTGCAGCATCTTTCATGCCTTCTGCCTGTTTTTTTCTTAGCCACTTACCACCATGGTACTGCAGTACCCACTGCCAGGGCAGAGTCCAGACCCTTGGATAATTGCCATGTAAAGACACCACACTGCCCTTCTTCTGTTTCCATCATCCTCTATCAACAAAACCACACTTTGTAGCTGCAGAGCATGCTTCAAACCATGCCAGACTAGCCAGCATGTTGGTTACAACGACCAGATTAATCTGGAGAGCCACTATTTCCCTCTTGCAGAGGAAGAGATGTTAGCTAATTGACTATATTCTCACAGAAATTTTGCAGCTGAGTTTCACATTAGTTCTATAATGTACCACATATTAGGAGACTTAATTCTACTTAATTTAGCCTATATGCTTTCTCAGAACTTCAGCTTCAGCTTAATTATATTTTTAAAAAAATTTTTTGCAAAGGAAGTGGATGATTCTATAAACAGCTTAGAAATGCAAGTTCACACTCCCGTCAACAAAAGATAATAATCATCCTTGCTCTTATAATCTCTGTCTTAACTATGAGGTGGCCCAGGGCAGGTGGGCTTATCTGGGCTCCTTTTCCCATGAAAGGTTGGACAAGATAATCTTTTAAGCACCCTTTCAACCTGAGCTATTCCATGATTCTAAGTTCTCTCCTTAATTGTATGATTCTGCAGAAGATATTTTGTTCAAGGATTTTGTGCACCATACGAAGTGGGTTTTTCAATATCATGCTAGGAAATCTTTCTGTACTAGACAATAAACAGGCCATTTGCTATTAACTAACCATCAGAGTCCATGCAAGTCTTCTTTTTTTTTTTTCTAATTAACTACCTGATAATGTATATCTGGTGTCCAAAAAAGATTGATGCCTATAACTATGGTTGGTGAGCAGTTACCAGATTTCATGACAGTATAGCAGAACGGTTGATTAGGTAATCCAAGGAGTGCTGGAAAATTCACAGTAAATCTTTTAACCTTCTCCATTTTGATTGTTTCTCCTTCCTAAGAGGAAGGTCTACTAGTTCTTAACAAACCTTGCATATTCTATAGTTCCCTTTTAGTGTCTTACTTCACTGTAACAAGTTGGTGTGGTTTATGTTAGAAACTGGTCGAGAATTGAGAAAGAAAGAGTCCTATTTACCGAACCCTGCTCATAATTTCATTACAAATTGAGCTTTTTTTCAGGACTGAAAAAAGTTAATATGATTTTGACTATTATTGTGTTTCACAGTTTTAACCATTCTAATAGCATTCCTATCCAAATGTGATAGGAGAACCAGTGGTGGAGTTCCCAAACAGTTGTAGCAAGAAAGCATTGGAAGCGTTGCAAAAATACTCTCTGTTGTGCGATTTACGAGTTAGTTCTGCCACATGGGCATCCAAAGAGTCATCCAAAATGAATTCACCTCTTTCAACACTTATTTAGAGGGATTCCTCAGAGATTCACTCATCAGCAGGCATGTAATAAATGTTCATACCGTGCTCACTTTATAGCAGAGTTGTACTCAATATTGATTTAAAATGGTTACCTCAGGTTTTGGTAGAAGTCCAGTGGTGACAAGAGGGAAATTGGTGTAAACTTATGCAGCTTTACCACCAAGAATTTGTAGCCCTTGCTGGTCTTTACATGATTATCAATAACTATCTCTTTTTGCTGCATACTGCAGTTCTCTAAAATGAGGAAATTCTTGTTTTTACCAGTAACCCAAGCAACTTTGAAACTCTCTGAAAAAAAGTAGCAGATGAAATAGTAAGCAAACTGCAGCATTTGTCTGGAAAGCAGTCCTTCCCACTTCCATCTCCACAGCGTAGCTCTCAGCATCCACCATAACCACCACCCTGCATCAAGGGCCAAATTTAGCCTTGGAAGAAGCAGGAACAACTTTATTCATGTTACTGAAATTGCACTACTGGTGCTTTACATCCCTTTGTCTTCCCATGGACTTGAAAGGGATGCAAACTGAGACACATATTAAGACCTTTTAAAAACAATATTTTTCTGCACATGGGACAGACCAGTTTCCGAGCTGTGTTCTGCTACAGTGGCAAGCCTGCCACTGGTGAGTGCCCTGGCAGCCTGGTGGGGCTGGCCCCAGCCACAGCAGGTTCCATTAGTGGGGAGAGGGCAGCCTTAGCGCTCCCAGTGACGAGCACATTGTGTCTGAAAACTGAGTGTAAGCTGCAAACATAAAAATCAGTCATCCTCACATGACATAA